AAAAAAAATAGCGAAGGTGGTCATGAAGTTTTTGAACAACACAAAGAATAAGGATACTCGTTTTACGCTTCTTGAATAACTGTTTTGAATTTTGCGCAAAGCTACTTGAGCCATCTGCGCTAGCTGTCCCTAATTTAGAAATGACAGAATAGAGGTAAGGCATCTAGTCAGCACCAGTCACCGCCAACTCTTGGGCTACTCTAATCGAATAGTGGAATTGACATTCACATTCCAACGACTCCAAGATTGAAAGGGTGAGTCGAGTGTCCCTTAACCATCAGGTCATGCCAGGCCATGGACAGCCGTTAAGGTACCTGTTATATGCCCTATAAAGATAGCACTCCCGTTTTACTAGCCCAAGCGTGGACTAATAATTATAATTAACATGGCAAAACATGGTTCTTAGTGTCAACGGTTAGCTTTGTGTTACTGAAAAAAATAAAATAAAAACGCACTCCGTGCTTTGGGGCTGTGGGTTATAAGAGTGAAGGTTAAAAAATACCATTTGATTTGAGTAACCCAAGAGTTGGCGATGGTTGCTGTTAACTAGTTGTGTTCCCTCTAGTTTATCATTTCAAAATCATGCACTGCTAGCGTGAATATTCAAAACCAAATCAACCCATTTCGTCTTCGAATTTGATCATTTATCTGATTTGCAACTCACAAGATTTCTTTAATTTTGGTATCTACATCAACATGATTGTGTTACGTTGCACGTTACAGTTTTGAATATTACAATGCTGAATGTTAGTGTTGCATCTTACAGTTTTGAATATTACAATGTTGAATGTTAGTGTTGCATCTTACAGTGTTGAATATTACAATGTTGCTTCTCACAGTGTTGAATATTACAATGTTGACTGCTAGTATTGCATCTTACACTGTTTAATATTACAATGTCTAATGTTAGTTTTGCATCTTACAGTGTTGAAGATTACACTATGGAATATTACAATGCTGAATGTTAGTGTTGCATTCTACAGTGTTGAATATTACAATGCTGAATGTTAGTGTTGCATCTTACAGTGTTGAATATTACAATGCTGAATGTTAGTGTTGCATCTTACAGTGTTGAATAATACAATGCTAAATGTTACTGTTGCATCATACAGTGTTGAATATTGCAATGCTGAATGTTACTGTTGCATCTTACAGGGTTGCATGTTGGTTTCAATTGAAAGTATTTTAGCGAAATACAGACTGTCTCAACCCTGACATCGTGTATTACAAAGTACTTACGTTACAAATATTGTAACTATTGTTATATTGTCAACGAAACTGATTCTTAAGCCCTTTTAATGAATAAGATGTGTGTTCGTTTGGCAGTGGAATAGACTTCGAGATCTTGCACCTCTAATCATTTTTCAGGAGTTTACTTACCCTTCAATATCCTACAGACCAAAGATTTAATACCCCCTCCCCCCCCCCCGGAATAAAAAAAAGGATTTTGACTGGTTCTTTAAAATATTTGCACAAAGCAACATAAGACTATCTGCGCTATTTGTCATAGTCTTGATCTTATAGACAAGCGAGAAAGAATACAGTTAATTAAAAACACCCACCGCCAAATCTTGGGCCATTCTTGTAACGCACCCAAGAACCCACAATGTGGACACGAGCAACATGGCCTGCAGGTTCACAGTCCAGCACGAATGCCACTAGGTCACGCACGACTCGGAAAAAAAGACAAGGTAAAAGTCAAACATTTTGTTTCGGTCTACGAATAATGATTACTTAAGCCTTATTTGGATTCATGTTGCGGCTCTCATTTTTATTATGAAGAAAACAAACACTGTACCTTGCTGTTTAACTCTCCAACCATTCCTGTCCAGTTGCCGTTCTCCAAGCTTCCAAAAGCCCAGTCGGTTCGTTGTGTCACGTGCGGTCTACAAAGCCAACAACCACAATCAAATGAGAATTTGTAGTCCCAACAGATAGGTCAAACTTCATTCTACTAATTACTAGTACGTCGGCATGAACACGCGTACAGACTATTATAGTCCTAGAAATAGGCCAAACTTTATTTTAGGAAATACTAGTACGCCGGTATGAATATACGTAGAAATGGGGAGATTTTTGCAACCGATATGTGACTGGATAACCATATGTTCGTTGTGCACATGCGCGTAGTAAAGATTATCATATGCCTTTCGAAATGAACTGGACATAATTTGGTTTATTTTGGTAATATCTCGAAGTGATATAATGCTAAAATCGTTTAACATTTAACTCAACCCTTGTATGTCCAAAATAGATCATTTTAACACCCAAAACACTTAAAAATATTACTTACTTTGCATGTAAGGCTACCCACGAAAACACACGTTCTGCAAGCACGAGCAGGGATTTTTTTCTGTGTCACACATTTGCAGAATTTACAAGAATAAAATACGTGTATTAGATGGTTTTGAAAAACAAAAAAATACAGGTGTTATGTTTCATTATCTGTAGTTTTAACCCCAATTTCGCACAGTTTAAAAAGAAAATTCTCTGATCTCGTGGTTTGTTAATTAGTTATAGTATTTGAAACCTAAACGGCACCATAAAAGTATGCACATGGTCTTAACAGCCAGAGATATCTATAGGATTCAGGTATGGCTTTCGTAACTGACCATGGTTAAGGCAGCCAATCAGTGGCACCCGCCGTCACAATAACTTTGGTCGGATTTATAGCATGTATGGCATTGATTTTCTATTTTATAATCTGTCCACAGATCGAACTTTGCACTTCCGATAACCCCTGAACTATTAATACAAGTGTTGTTTTCGATCATTAAACCAATAACACCCGACAAGGTTGGGGCTGCTTAATAAAATTACTAAACATTGAAGTAGAATTATTACAAGTAAAAACCTTTATGTTCTAAGACTACTATATCTGGCCAACGTAGTTACTACTGTAATAAATGGAAAGGAATTAGTTCTGTAGTAAATAAAAGTAAAATGGCTAGATGACAAAATATAACGAAGTTTCGTATTCAGGTGTAGTTGGTGTAAGTTGTGGGAAGAGATCCATGTTGTGATTGGTTGATGGAATCTGCATTGTAATTGTTTGGCCGTTGAGGTTCGTATGACTAATAGTTGTCAACTAATGGAAAGCAAGGAAAGCTAGTTTCTGTGCCACTGTCTGTGATTAATGACGGTTTCAACGTTCTGATGTAGAAGGATTATTTAGTTTTCTTTAGTACTTATCTGAGTTAATGGTTCTATAATTTTTTCAGATTATCTCGTAGCTTGGTAAAATCACATTTTCAGCAGTGGCAGGATTTGTCGGTTTCATCATTATTACACGATCTTTCTGTTCTTTAATTATTGTTCACAATTGTCTTCCGGTTAGTTCAACATAAGTTTGTTTATATGAACGTTGGTTTCTCCAACGTAAGTTAGTTTAAATGAACGTCGCTTTCTCCGACGCAAGTTTGTTTTCACAAACACCGGTTACACCAACGAAACGAAGTTTGTTTACTTGAACACCTGTTTCTCCAACTTAAGTTAGTTTACATGAACACCAATTTCTACAACGTGGTGTAACATTATGTTACACATGTAGACTTACAGTATATTTATGTATTAAACATGATGTTACACTACAGGTAGAATTACAGTATGTTAATGTATTAAACATGATGTTATACTACATGTAATAGGTCGTCAAGAAATTGATGTCGCGTCTTAGAACATTTTCATTAACCACCTCTCTAATGTAATTACATTATATTTATGAATTAAACATTATGTTACACTACAATTTTAATTATAGTATGTTTATGTATTAAACATGATGTTACACTACATGTAGACGTACAGTATATTTATGTATTAAACATGATGCTATACTACATGTAGACGTAAAGTATATTTATGTATTAAACATGATGCTATACTACATGTATTAGGTCATCAAGAAATTAATGTCGCGTTTTAGAACACTTTCATTACCCCCCCCCCCTAATATGATTACAGTATATTTATGTATTAAGCATGATGGTATACTACAGGTATAATTACAATATGTTTATGTATTAAAAATTATTTTATACTACATGTATAATTATAGTATGTTTATGTATTAAACATTATGTTATACTACATGTATAATTATAGTATGTTTATGTATAAAACATGATGTTATACTACATGTAGACATACAGTATATTTATGTATTAAACATGATGTTACACAACATGTAAACTTACGGTAAATTTATGCATTAAACATGAAGTCACACTAAATGTAAACTTACGGTACATTTATGCATTAAACTTGATGTTACACTACAAGTAGACTAACGGTATATTTATGTATTAAACATGATGTTACACTACATGTAGAATTACGGTATATTTTTGTATTAAACATGATGTTACACTACATGTAGACTTACGGTATATTTATGTATTAAACATGATGTTACACTACATGTAGACTTACGGTATATTTATGTATTTAAACATGATGTTACACTACATGTAGACTTACGGTATATTTAAGTATTAAACATGATGTTACAGTGTATGTAGACTTACAATACATTTATGTAATAAACATGATGTTACACTACATGTAGACTTACGGTATATTTAAGTATTAAACATGATGTTACAGTATATGTAGACTTACAATACATTTGGGTATTAAACATGATGTTACACTACACGTAGACTAACGGTACATTTATGCATTAAACATGAAGTTACACTACATGTAGATATACGGTATATTTATGTATTAAACATGATGTTACACTACATGTATATTTAAGTATTAAACATGATGTTACAGTATATGTAGACTTACAATACATTTGGGTATTAAACAGGATGTTACACTACACGTAGACTAACGGTATATTTATGTATTTAAACGTGATGTTACACTACATGTAGACTTACGGTATATTTATGCATTTAAACATGATGTTACACTACATGTAGACTTACGGTATGTTTAAGTATTAAACATGATGTTACACTACATGTAGACTTACGGTATATTTAAGTATTAAACATGATGTTACAGTGTATGTAGACTTACAATACATTTATGTAATAAACATGATGTTACACTACATGTAGACTTACGGTATACTTATGTATTTAAACATGATGTTACACTACACGTATATTTAAGTATTAAACATGATGTTACACTACATGTGTATTTAAGTATTAAACGTGATGTTACACTACATGTATATCTAAGTATTAAACATGATGTTACACTATATTTAGACTTACGGTATATTTATGTATTTAAACATGATGTTACACTACATGTAGACTTACGGTATATTTATGTATTTAAACATGATGTTACATTACAAGTAGACTTACGGTATATTTATGTATTAAACGTGATGTTACACTACATGTAGAGTTACGGTATATTTATGTATTAAACATGATGTTACACTACATGTAACCAAAGCCTCAGTATGGTTGGGGGTAGGCGTCCTGCGAAAGGAGTAAAGTCTTCCCTGGTGCTCCATGAAATGCTCCCAAGAGACCTGCTTGTTAAGCCTCTACTGAGGAAGTCCTATTCACTGCCTTCTCGTGGCGGAGGTGTTTTTACTGAAGTGAAAGGGCGTAAGGGGGTGACCCGCGCTATAACGGGTTCGTTGGTTCATTGATCACCTAGGTGAGTTGGCTAAACCCTGATTTCAAACCAACAACGGCGGAATAGATCCAGCGGATTGAGCGGATGAGGTCAACACGACCCAACGGTCATGATGGCGGTACTAACTGCTGCATCTGGCAGATGGGACTCAACAGCTTTAAAAGGCAGCTCATCTAAGGGAAGGAAAACCCTGACTTCAAACCCCCGCTGCCTTGCGGATGCATCTGACCAAGGAAGGCTTCAGGAGAAAACCTCGAGGAAAAATCCGGAGTCGGAGCCCCGAAGGCAGTTTGACGTTGATTCCAACCCTGTTCCAGCAGCTCCTGCGACCGCGTTGACACCAAACTGTATCAGCACTGCTGTTCCTTTGGCTCCGTCATTGAGGTGGAGAGAGGGGCAAGTTGCGTAGGCAACAGCCTGTCCCCCGTATCAGGCTTACATCCGTCCATATCAAACAATGGACGGATGTTCATCCATGGTCAAACTTGGCCGAAGGAGGTCTACTACACTACATGTAGACTTACGTTATAGTTAAGTATTAATCATGATGTTACACTACATGTATATTTAAGTATTAAACATGATATTACACTACATGTATATTTAAGTATTAAACATGATGCTACACTACATGTATATTTATGTATTAAACATTATGTTACACTACATGTAGACTTACTGTATATTTAAGTATTAATCATGATGCTACACTACATGTATATTTAAGTATTTAACATGATGTTACACTACATGTATATTTAAGTATTAAACATGATGTTACACTACATGTATAGTTAAGTATTAAACATGATGCTACACTACATGTATATTTAAGTATTAAACATGATGTTACACTACATGTATAGTTAAGTATTAAATATGATGCTACACTACATGTATATTTAAGTATTAAACATGATGTTACACTACATGTATATTTAAGTATTAAACATAATGTTACACTACATGTATAGTTAAGTATTAAACATGATGCTACACTACATGTATATTTAAGTATTAAGCATGATGTTACACTACATGTATATTTAAGTATTAAACATGATGCTACACTACATGTATATTTAAGTATTAAACATGATGCTACACTACATGCATATTTATGTATTAAACATGATGGTACACTACATGTATATTTAAGTATTAAACATGATGCTACACTACATGTATATTTAAGTATTAAACATGATATTACACTACATGTATATTTAAGTATTATTGCTTACCTTAAATTGGTCCAATTGGCAATTTCTTCTAACAGCTGATAGAACTTGTCGTACTTGCCATTCCGATACTAACAAGAAAAAGAATTTTATAAAAACTTGATGTATTTCACTTTCCGACACAAAAGAAGAAAACACATATAAATGTGTCGTACTTCCCTTTCCGACCCTAATAAATAGAAAATGACATAAAACCTTGTTGTACTTCTTCTTCCAACTCAAAGAAAGATAAAACCTTGTTGTGAGGATAGTAAATCCACTATATATTTTAAACAAAAGTCCAGAGATACAGCTTTTGAGTGGATTGTATATTGTTATTTAACTTTATTCCAACATTTTGACCATTCGTGTGGCCATCATCAGGTAACTGTCGTCTATTGTGTGAAATACTGCGCGAGAATTTTGTTCCAAATTAATGTGCTTTGATTTAAATTAGGTTTTAGTTCACCGAAAATTAATGCTGCTTCTATTTTTCTTCTATTAATGTTGTTCTATTGCACAATATCTTAAATTTGTTAATGTTAATTGGATGCTGGTTCGTTGTGCTGTGTTCGTGAACGTGTGATGGAGGATTATTATGTTCCTTGATCCTAATGCATATCCTGCTTCCCGTTTCGCCTATGCAAATGCAATCACATCGATCATATTGATACCTGTTAGAATAAACTTTCTTGAGGTGACCTTTGATTTTAGTGTTCAGTTTTTGTAATAAAAATATCTTTACTGTTTAGATTGTGTGTGTGTGTGTTTTTTCGTACATGTTTCCAAATGTTTATGATGGTTTTGGTTACATAGCTATGATGTGGTAAGACACCTTTTAGTGTATCTGGGTTTGTGTATTTTGTTTCCTTCATGGAGTTTATGTTGTTTTCCCTTTTTTCTTTTTGTGATTGAGTTTGATTATATTTTACTAAGGTTCTAGTAACAATGTAATTAATAATTGTTTATAAATGTATCAAATATTGATTCTAGTTCATGTTGCAGATTACTGCTACTACATGGGTTAAACTCTGGGTTGTAATGCATGATAATATGCCAATGTTTTGTTGAGTTGAGTGACCTGAGTCACATATTATAGAGTTGTTATCATTACCACATTTGGGGAAGATTTTCGTGTTAAAACCGTTGGAGTTTCTTTCTATTGTTATGTTCACGTTTTTGTTCTCTTCTTCATGAGTGAATTTCATGTTAGGGTTATTGTTCTTTACGTGTTGTAGAAATGACTGTTGATGGATGTTGCCTTCAAGTCCACAAATTATATTGTTGACGTATCTAAACCAGTTTGTGGAAGGGTGTAGATCTGTGTTAATTGTCTGACTTTCTATTTTGTTGATAAACAATTCACACAATCCAGGTGACAGAGGGCTGCCTATGCTGTGTTCTATAGAAGCAACACAAACTGGAATCAATATTTGATACATTTATTAACAATTATTAAATACATTGTTACTAGAACCTTAGTAAAATGTAATCAAACTTAGTCATACTCAATAACCGAAAGAGAAAAGGGAAAACAACATAAACTCCATGAAGGAAACAAAATACACAAACCCAGATACACTAAAAGGTGTCTTACCACATCATAGCTATGTAACCAAAACCATCATAAACATTTGGAAACATGTATGAGAAAAATACAATCTAAACATTAAAGTTACTTTCAATCAGTAACCGAGCACTAAAATCAAAGGTCATCTGAAGAAAGTTTATTCTGACAAATTCAACGACGGAAGCATCTATAAGTATCAATGTGATAACACTTACATAGGCGAAACTGGACGCAACATAAACATTAGGATCAAAGAACATAACGATCCTCAATCACACATTTACGAACACAACACAACAAATCAACATCGAATTAACAACTTTAAAATATCATGCAATAGAACAACATTAATAGAAGAAAAATAAAAGCAGTATTAATTATTCGTGAACTAAAACCTTATTTATATCAATACGCAGATGTCACCATATATGTTTTCTAAACTGGAACAAAATGCTTGTTCAATATTTCACACAATAGACGACAGTTTGCCTGATGATAACAAAGAGAAATCACCTTAAAACCACCTGCATTTTTCCTTTCGATTCGAAGCTAGAGAAGTCACACAAAACATCAGTCGCAGCTCCCTCCTGACTTAAAAAAATAAAAAAATACCACATTTATTTCTCCTGGAATATACTAGTAATGTTTACGATATAACTAATCTAAGTTAATAATTGAAAGGTAATTTCTAAATACTCGTAGTTTCAAAATTCCTGCTGATTGATATAAGATTTTTATAACATTAATTATTCGAAGGTTGTTTGTGAATACGACAAACTATATAGAACTCTCAGTTCTTAAAGTTAAGTTAACTAGTTTAGTTGAAACCACGAAAACTCGAGTTAAAGAGAAATAAAGCTCTTATAGGACCTTTAAAATATTTCAGTTTGCCTCTGAAGAAGAAAGGTGCACCTTTCGAAAGCGCTCGGGTTATAGGGTTTTTATTCATTTCCATCAAGACTTCTTGAACTTACGTGTTTTTCTAACATCATTAAATATTTCATTGTAGTCAAGGAGGGACCAGCAACAATGTTACAACTGATGTCTGTTCATATTCTGTTTCAGTCATTTTTGATAAGGCAATTTGAAAAATAGAATTTACAAGTATTTTAAAGACATAAAAAAGTTGTCATTGTGTGAAACTAGAAAACGATAATTTGGGAGTTTTAAAAAGACATAAGAAGTTGCGATGGCGTGCAATTAGAAAACAAGAATCTAAACAGTTTAAACACAATGACATATAATTGCTATGACACGTATTTGTAAAACTAGAATTTACAAGTTTGAGAACAGACGTAAAGAATTGTTAAGGAAAGGAATTATAAAAAAGACCAAAATTGCAATGGCGTGCAATTAGGTAACGATTATCTACAAGTTTTAAACACAATCACAAAGCATTGCCACAGCCTGTAGTTAAATATCGCAACTCTTTAAGTGTTAAATAAAGTTAAGTATCTGTTGTGGCGAATCTACAACTCTTAAAAAATAGTTAAATAACTTCCACACATTACTAGAGTGCTTGTAACTCGAAGGATTCGTCCTTTAAAGTTCGTAATGTCTGCGGGATAAATGTTTAGCTTCTTCAATTGTAAACCCGTATCTTCACAAAAGGAACAGCAAGTGAAGAACAAGGGGGTTCCAAAAGCTTTCCAACGGACACTTGTGACTCTGAAGCATCCCAGTTTCTGTAAAATACAGAAATTATAAGTTTGTTTTTTATTTTATTCTGCTCTCAGTTCGCATTTATCAGAAAGATGCACATTTCATTTAGAATTGAACTTTCAAATATAGAAACCATGGAAACTCGCATTTAATCTAGACGAGTATCTGAACTGAATAGATAGATTATTTAATCTATGTTAGTATGTGATCTGCATAGAAATATTATTTAATCTATATTAGTATGTGATCTGAATACAGAGATAATTTAATTTAGTTGAGCATCTGAAATGAATACATATATTATTTAATCTATATTAGTATGTGATCTGAATAGAAATATTATTTAATCTATATTAGTATGTGATCTGAATAGAGAGATAATTTAATTTAGTTGAGCATCTAAAATGGATACATAGATAATTTAATTTAGTTGAGCATCTAAAATGGATACATGGGTTATTTAATCTAGATTAATACCGGATCTGATTCAGAGATTATGGAAACTCACATTTAATCTAGATTAGTATCTTTTGGGTGCAGAAACTGCAGATTTATTTGTTAATCACTTTTATCACGAGTGTCTATAAGTTTTAAAAGAGTTAAAGAATTGTTATGTTGGACAATTAGAAAACGTGAATTGTTTTTATAGTGTTTTACTCGACGACAATATAGTATTTAACTTAGTGTTTTACTCGACGACAGTATAGTATTTAGCTTAGTGTTTTACTCGACGACAGTATAGTATTTAACTTAGTGGTTTACTCGCCGACAATATAGTATTTAACTTAGTGTTTTACTCGCCGACAATATAGTATTTAACTTAGTGTTTTACTCGACGACAGTATAGTAATTAACTTAGTGTTTCACTCGACGACACTGTAGTATTTAAATTAGTGTTTTACTCGACGACACTATAATATTTAGCTTAGAGTTTTACTCGACGACAATATAGTATTTAAATTAGTGTTTTACTCGACGACACTATAGTATTTAACTTAGTGTTTTGTTCGACGACACTATAGTATTTAACTTGCAATAGAACACAAACAGCATTATTAACTTGCTCTTTGATCTGAACAGTCTAGGACTACAACAACTACAAACTATTTTTACGCCCATCCTAATCCATAAAGGATAAGCTCAGTGAAGTACTTACAATACTTGTTTGAGTACGTTTTTTATTAACGTACCTCCCAAGATTGAGAAAGGTACGTATTACCATTTAGAATGAAAATAACCGATCAAGAGGACACATGTGCACATTAAACCGAAACAAGGTAATTTTATGAGACGTCAAATTAAAAAGCCTAATTAGATGTTCATAAATTAACGTTTAACACCAAAATATCCAAGTGTATGACAAGCTTTAAAAAAGGAATTGAACGAACAAGCATGTTCAAGACGTTGAGATACTGAGGTTGTGAACAACTTGTATAATATTAAATACATTATAAATCTAATTACTAAAAAAAATATAGACCTGTTGACTGGTGTATGGAGAAACGAAAGCAACTTTATCTCCTTCAGTTAGATGTGGTTTGATAACATCCACTAGGTGTCTCTTTTTAAGAAGAATCAGTACTTTATTTCTCGTACTAATGGCGGAAACGGTTTTGAGCTTAAAAAAGATAAATATTAAATGGTTAGTCTGGTACATTATAAGATATTCCTCATCAGATTGGTTATTTACAAACTTAAACTACATTTGATCGTTATTTCTAACCCCTCTTCCCCAGTGGCTCAGCGGAAAGTCTGAAGGCTTAAGATGCTAAAAAGCGGATTTAGATACTGTTGATAAGCAGAACATAGAGAGCTACATTGTGTAGCTTTGTGCTTAACAAAAACCAAGCCAAATC